AGAAGAAGCCATATGAATACAAGAAATGCAATACCAATACCGCATTTCATCAAAATCAAATCTCATTCATGAAGTCATTCCCAAATACCATAAACTGTTATTATATACTTTATAGATTCATGACATAAAATGAGATGCAGTCTAAAGCTGCATATTGAATGTAAAACCCAAACGAAATTGCAAAAAATTCCAATACCAAGAAATCAAGGGGGTGTTGGGCTATCTTATTCTATTGCTTCCACTGTAGTTGGATGGAAAAGGTGTGGGTTGTTGTGAAAATTGGTGGCGGCGGCAACTGCTTTGGTTTTTTTTTTTTGGGGGGGGGGGGTGTGTTATGAGGGGGGAGAGAGAGGAGAGGTCAGTGGGTGCTGGTGGTATCGGGAGATTGGTGGGTGGTGGTGCTCTTATGTAGGAAATAAGAGGGGCAGAGAGAGAGAGACCGGGTATATGTATATATGGAAAGATTATGATACCGGTTTATTTTTTGATTTTTTTTGTGAAAATCACAACACAATTGGACAAGTTTATGACAAAATAGTGTCGTTTAGGATTGATCCCAAACTTTTTAGTCATATTAACCCAAGGTGAGTTATAATTAGTTCTTATTCAATTGTACCTTTTGACATAGTACCCAACTCATTATTGTAGTCATTCCTTCTATGTATCTGTAGATATCCAGAATGAAAATGTTAGGAGGTAATTGCATAAATTTCTGTCTTGTCCATAATCTGTAAAGCCTAAGATGAAATATCAAGAGTACAAGTCAGCAAAAAATTGCAGAGGAGGAACCAAAGTCAATAGACAAATATACTTGTTTCTATGCAAGAAAAACCATGAAATCAAATATAGAAAGTAGAATAAGAACACCATAAAATTGAATACAGGAGAATATTTATTTATCGAATAAAAAAATACAGGAAAATATGCAGCGTGATCAAACATATACCCTTGTGCTTTTTACGACTCTTTCAAGCTGTCTTAGGTGATGGCAATCTTAAAATTTGCGAACAACTCTCACCGACAGACTCATGTTATCATACATGAGCAATGCTATTGAGATCTAATTTATTGACCTGATTCACTATGATCTTTGGATTGATTGTGGGTCCTATCAAACATTGAAACTTGGTGTTAATCCAATGGTTCCGATGAAACCACATCATTAGATTAACAAATTATGTCAAATTTTTAGATCCAAATAGCATTACTCGTCATACATATCCGATAACAAAGAAGCAACCAATACAAAGACTATTCAAATCAACCATGCCAATGAGTGATTCAAGTAAACTAAATTAGCCCTAATCTCAATCATCAATCTTCTAAACCAACTTCTCTCTAATGTCGTCCAAACCCGTCTTCAACTGAAGCAGTTGGTGACAGAGTAGTATACTAAAAATTTGTTTTTTGTAGTGAAACTCATTTTATTAATTAATAATAGTTTTCTTTCAATTTTTTTGAGAATCTATATGGGCAAAATATTTGCATTATATTTAATATATGGTATGCATGTGTCTTATATTTTACATTGTAGATAATCTAGTATGTAGAGTTTGACTTATACACAGAAGACTAAATTATCGGATCCTTGTATAATATGTGTATATGTTTACAATCCTAGATAGAATTGAGCACATTATTGGTATGATTGTAGTATAATATTCCGGCATAGTCTGACTTGATTGTAGGAGACTGATTGATGTCTCGAATTATTGCACTAGTACACTTTGTGTATTGAACAAACTCATGTTGAGGGTATTATCTTTTACTGGTTCAATAAGATAATAAATACCTTATGATTATTATGATTGCTTGTGCTCGTAATTCCCAAATATTTAATTGTCATGTGCATGTAATGTTTGTCGCTTTAATTCATCAAAGGGTGAGATTTATATTGAGTCAATAAGCTCGGTGAATTGAGAGACGATGTTGTTTATATGGTGAAAATTAAATATTAAAGGAAATCACGTCCTAGTATTTAAATGGGTTGAAGATGTCCTCTTGAGGAAGTTCATAAGTTTTATCCATGTCAATCTTGCAAGTGGATTTAATTATCCGATATAACAAATAAATTGAGGGATAAGGTCTCAAGGAATATAAGAAGTTAATTAAATATAATTGTTAGTAATTTATTTAATTGATGAAAATCTGTAATATTAAATGTGGAGAGATTATTAAGTATAGGAATCCTATGCCCATTGAAAGCCCAGTCCTTATTTCTCCTTAGGGTCTTTGTCGTAGTCTATATATATACTTCTAGCCTCTCTAATTCAGCATATATTATTTACTCACGTTTTTGAGAGATGCGGAAAGAAAGAGCTAGGATTCGGAGGTCTTGGCAGCCCACACTACATTTGGATTTTGACGTTGGGGGTATACGAAAGAAGGTCGCAAGGTTCGTCGAGCTGTCCTTCGGTTGCTCATTGTTCTGTTCTGTGATCATGCTGAGACGAGATCAATCCCGAGGGATCTAGAATGTAAATCCTAATTCCGCCTTATAGGGTTTTAAAGAAAAATTTAATATTCGATAAATGTGTGTTGTCAACGGCTCTTGGGATTTCCGTTCCAACAGCTGGTCCATGTCATTATAGGCTTCAGCTTGTATAGAATCCAACCATGTCCTCTACGAGTTGGTCTCACAATCTCTATGGCTTTCTTGGTTAGTTGTCAAGTACTTATCAATGGTGGCCTTAGAGGATGGGTTGCCGTGAGTGTAAACCTGGCCGGTCGGAACATGATCGTCACGGATAATAATTTCTTGGTGAGTGCTCAAGTACTTATCAATGGTGGCTTCAAAAGAGGGGTCTCCATGAGTGTAAACTTGGCCGACTTCTAAGAAAACGAGGATAGCGACGTTAGCATTGGTTCTCAGGTGGAGCTCACGGGCTTTCTTGAAGAGGCCTTGACGTCTCTTTGAGAATGTCACCATTCCGTCCAATTCTTTCTCCTTTTTCTTTATCTCAATCTTCTTCTTTCCCATTCCCATCTCTCTCACACAGACCCTCTCTTTCTCTTGGAATGCTTTACGAGAAACTCTCTCACATAGTCTCTCTTGGAATGCTTTAGGACAAACGCTTGAGTTCTGTGCCTATTTATATCAAGGCTGGCTGCCAATAAATTAGGGCTTTAGCCCAAAAAAGCAAGGTCACCCAGATCTAATTTGTGACCTAATCACTTGTAATTATTGAATAGATAGAAAGCTTTGATATTTGTTAAGATTCACTATCAATATGATAGCTGTGATAAATTAGGTTAATATAATATTATTAACAAAAAATTCCAAATTGAGAGGTCTATAATATAGTCCATTTTATCAATTTAAATCTATAAAAATTGAATTCAACAAAAAGTCCAACTAAATTTTAATTAATAAAAAAGTGAAAATTAAAAGTCAGTCTTTTTTAAAAATCTTTTTATGTATTAAGTCCAAGTTCTGTTCTTTCAAGAGATTAAGGACATTTTGAGGTTCTTATCCATCTTCTAGTTCAAACTAATTGTATCACTTTTTTTTTTATTTACTTGAATGCCCTTAATGGTATCAAGTCCTAATTGTGTCATCGTCTATACTCCAAGCCCACTCTGTTCACCTCTGGCACCTCATTGACATCTTGGCGAGTTCAGATATGGCAGCCTCTTGTACCTCGGGGAGCTCTTTGGTCAAGTCTTTGTAGGTAGCCTCGAACACTTTCTGTCAGAGTCGAGGCAAACTTGTCATTATATATATATATATAGCAATATTCCGTACTGAAAAATATGGTGCAACACAAAAATCAGTAAAGTTTTTTCAAAATATAAATGTGTACACTATCGTATATGAACAATGATCGAAATAAAAATTGAATTGAATCACAAATTAATCAAAAATTAAATAATTCAATTTTTAGACAGAAATAAGTGATGTGATAGAAATAGATGAGAAAAATATATAGGGATAAAATTCAAATAACTAAGTCCCTTATTATATACTAGTAATTGTCCGTACCTGAGGACACTATATAACAAACAAAAAAAAATTCATTTCAACAGTATGAAAAAAAATAAGGATCTATGGAAAAAAGTTGAAATTGGTAATGTTGTAATTTCTGTAAATGCCATAGGCCAAGAACAAAGTTTAGTTGATCACCATTGTCACGATGACATAACACAAAAAAATAAAACATATTACTTAGCTAATAACCATTGCCGCAACGACATATCAGGAAAAACTCAACCAATTGCAAAAACAAAACCAAATTGAGCATTATTGTCGCCCCCAACAAAAGAAAGGTCCAAGCCCACACTCACCGTGTTAGAAAATTTCTCGCAAGTGCGCTTACAGGCCACACTCACCGTCTATTTGGAACCTGCTAGTCGAGAGAATTTTTAGGATCTAAAACATACTAAAAGTAAATGTTGGGAAGAATAACTAATAAAATAAAAAGAAATTCCAAATAGTTGAGAATTCTAATTTCAATATAATGCCTCAAGTCTCTACTAAAATAATTAATCCGAAAACGACAGAACATTTCACCAATAAACATCCATTAGAAGAAATCAATACCCAACAACCCAATTATGAAATCTGGGAATTGTGAAATAGATATAAGAAAAAAAATCAATCCAGAAAACACCAGAACAGTTCATTTGATGACATTTCAATTGCTGGAATTCGGGTTCTTTCTCTCAGCAATAGCCATATTAAACAAAATTAAGAGAAAGCATAGACTCAAGAAACCCTCCACCCATGTGTACTTGAAAGCTAGAGAAAGAACAATATAAAAGAAAACTGAGAATCAACACCTATTTTTCTAATTAATATATATTTAATTGTATATCACAGATTCTCAAATAAAACATGTCATGTATTAACAAACTAAAATACAATATAGAACAAATTAAAATCTATTTACCATTGCATGTTAAGCAAGGTGATTCATGAGGTACCAGTTATCATTTGTAGACGCTTCAATATCGTCTCTCAAATCCATCATTAAATTGAATATTCCAACTTTTTTGGGCATCCATAAACAGTTTGCAACGTCATCATCTTCTAGACTCTCTCCCTCATCCAAATCCACTTCATCAATGCTTGGTGTGTTCTACAGATAGAAAGAGGGATGGACAAACCAACATAGTTTTAAAACTCGGTCCGGACATCAACCCGACAGAGAGATCGGGTCAGTGGATCATTGGTTCAACCGTTGGGTTACCGGTCGAACCAGTTATATAATAAAAAAATAAATAATAATTATAAATAATAATAAATAGGCTAAAAACTCACAAAAATTATGATAATAGTAGCAAACATGTAAAATTAAGTAGAGAAAAATCATCAAATATGTACCAAATGCATTTAATTTCTAATACAATTTGTAAATTTAAAGGTAAGTAGTAAAAAAATACTTCTATTTAACTTTTAGACTCTATGTACAAGTCTTCGACTATGCATCAATCATTCAATTTAAGTATAATTCATGTAATTTGCACTCTTCAAAGCGTAAATTAAGATGCGTCAGGCAATAAATTTAACATCATCTCATTTCACAGCATAAAAAACAACCTTATATGTAAAATCAATTTCAAGTCTAAAAATTTCTAGTATCAATAACATCCTAATAATATTGTAACCCACAAAAAAAAAATGTAACCCACAAACTGAGAGACCAAGACCAATCTGAGATCAACCCCCCTCCAAATTCCAACCCACAAAAAAAAATGATACCCAACAGTTTTTTTTGTGCTGTTTTGATCTTTTCTTGAAGAAAATAAAAGGATTTCTTGAAGCTTAATATCACAGTGAACATACCCATTCATGTGAATATAGTGAAGCCCTCTTGGTGATGACTTCGTGTATCGCCGGATGTCTGATTCCGATAATCGATGTTCACCAGAATTTTTAAGCTCATCAGCTAAAGACCCTCCAGAAGCGTACTCCATCAAGACATTGTACAATTTCATTAGCTAAAGACCTCCGATACCATTTTTTCGTTCATCAACAAAACAGAGTGCGAAGCATCACAAGAGTTCACGGCCATTAATGGAGGAATTTGTGGGCTCTGGCTTTCGGGTATTGGAAGATTTACTGTTCCAAAGCTTCCATGGCCGATTGTTCCACCACGTACCGAGAGAGAGAGAGTAGTATACCTGTTATGATGCTTGGTGGTTATCATCGATCGGTTGTCTCGATGTCGATGGAGCTTTGAAACAGTGAAGGTGAAGCAGCTTTCTCCTTCAAAAATCAAAATCGAAGCGAAGAAGTTAGGGATCAAATTTCCTTCCTCTTCGATTCGAGTCTTCATGCTCGCAGTGCACAGTGTACACTACAACAGAGACCAAAATCAAAGAGGGATAGAGAGACTGATGAGAGTCATGAGACTCTGTGAGAGAGAGAGAAAGAGAGAGAGAGAGAGGTTGGTTGGGGGAATGGAGAAGGAACGATTAGGGTAGCAAGGCAAAAATGCCAAAGAGGGCCCAAAATTCAATTTTTATATTAAATAAACCTGGCCGGTTTGTGTAACTCGTTTGGTTTGACGATTTTTACCGGTTTTTTCCCGGGTTGCCAGGTTTACTCCGGTTTTGGTGCATAAACGATCTAATAGGTGAATTGGCCCGGTTTAGGCACCGGGTTAACCCGGCAAGCCAAGCCGGGTTTTAAAACATTGCAAACCACTCAAAAGCTCTTGATGGTTGGGTATGGCTGATGTATGTTTTTTGAGACTGCTGCAAAAAAGTTGGGAGAGAGAGAGGAGAGACGCATGGGGTGGGACCGTAGAGATGAGGTTGAGATAAAGTCTAAGGATGAGATAAAGTCTTCGAGTCCAAAAATAAAAGGATTCTTGTAATTTTTTGGTGGAAAAAAAATTTGAAAGAGAAGTATCAGTATCAGTCGTTGGATCAATAATCTTAAAGCGATCTTAACCGCAAAAAGCTAATGACAAACAATTTCCCTCCCTTATTATATAGATAGATATTTTTACGGGAAAATATTCAATTTAACAGTGATCCCATGTCAACATTGATGACATGGTATCACCAACCAATAATAAAACCTCAAATGAACAAAGTGAACTCTACTTGGGTAGTTATTGGCTTATGGGGAAGAAGAGTGAGTAGTAATTTGTTTACATAGATGGGTAGTTATTGACTTGTGTGGGGTTCACTTCGTTTTTTGTCTACATATTATTGGTTGGTGACACCACATGGTAATGCTAATGTGGTATTACTGTTGCAATGAATATTTTTTCTGTTTCTACAGCGGGCATCATTGATATTTATCCTTTTTTTGTTGAAGGTTTAAGTTTGATTCACATTGGCCTTGAGGAGTAATCCTCAAGGGGATCTCACAGATATGAAAGATTAAACATTACCATTAATTGTGCAATTGTATTACCTGATGAATGGCGATCATTTTGATACTACCAGCCCCTTTTGACAAGGCTGCATTATCGTTGAAAATTGTTGTCTGCCAAAATAATTTGCCTATGGTAGAATCATGAAATCTGTACGACTGAGATGATGCTTGATATGAGCATTTTAGTTGAAGCCTTGAAGCTCTCTTTGTCTGACGAGTTTGATAGAAGTAAAGAGGATGAAGTTGTTGTCACTTTTGACCGTACTCCCGCCATTTCAACACCTTATTTGCTGGTAATTTTCATTTTTCATCTGTACAATTGGCAACCAAGTGGCACATGATGGAGGGGCAGCCAAATATCTTTTTATTTTTGGTCAGGGGGCAGCAAAATATTTAGGTTTTTGTATTGAGACATCAAATAGAACCTTGGCCTTCATCCGAGTTTGGAGTGTTTTTTGGATTTGGAGGGTTTCCACCATCCTATAGACTGTTATTTCCGTTGGATCCAAAATACAAAATGCATTTAATTTGATTAAAATTGTTTACAATATTTAAAATATATTTAAATATTTAATTTTTCTTTAAAAAAATAGTGTATATATATATATATTTATGTTGCTTCCTTTGAATCACAGGATGGGCAGCATACATCCAAAGAGAAAAATGGACGGAGGGGTGGAAATCAAGGACGAGGAAGGAGAGACAAGCACTGTGGCTTTAACGAAAAAAATATGCTAGCAAGTTACTTTATTTATTTTTGGTTCGATTCCTTTCTTAAGGATCTTCTAGCTTCACTGAATGAACTAATCATTCTTTTTCTAACTTTGACAATTTTAGTCCCTGAAACTGTTTCCTCTTGGCGCCACATGGATGTCTCAAAGCCACCTCTTGCCCCAACTCCAAGGATGCCTGATGGAACCAGAGGATTTACAATGGGACGTGTCTGGCCTCTGGATTCAAATCAAAGCTGAGTGTTCTTCAGTTTGGGTATCAATTGGATTGGATTCTGTCTATCAGATAAATATTGTGGATGATCTACGGAAGTGTAGTGGTTGTATGATCCATTTACCAGCATCATCCCACCTGTTGTGGTGGTGCTTCCAACTGGCAAAAGAAATAGTTACCTTTCTGGGAAAAAAAAAAGTTTTAAGTTTTGCTACCTTCTGGAAAAAAAGTAGTTTTGAGTTTGCTTGTGAGATGGTGAATCCAAATGTAACTGACATCAGTGTTTAATCATATATTCAATTCTTGCATCTCTTTACTACTGATTGGAGTAGTTGGATAGGGCAAATTCTCAAACTTGAGGGTGGTGTTGCATTGAAGTTGTGGGGATGAAAGGCCATGGCTAAAATTGGTTTGGTTCTTTTCCTACATTTAGTTTTCTGGCATATTGACATATGGAATTGGGAAAGCAAGGGTTCAGCTCGGTTGTTTGGGGTTATGTCCCTCTTGTATGTGGTGTGGGGGTTAAACCACAACCCTTAGTGATGTTGCTGACCTTATGTGGCCGATTTTAATGGTTTGAGTCGTAGAAACCACTTTTTTCGTTTGTAGAGATAAAGATTGTGTATATTTAATTTTTTTTTGATCTCGCAGTAGAGTCTTGTGTATTGAACCATTATTCATTTATTTATATTATTGCTTGTAGTTTTCGGTTTTTGAGTGTGGTGACAAATAATGGAAAGGACCTGGAAATTTAAACAAATAAAAGGAAAATAATAACGGATGAGTAAGTGCATAAACTGATACATACACACAAATATAAGGAGATGCATCTCATCCCCAGTGGTACACAATTTCATACGAACCCTAGGTTTTTTCAACTTGAAAACCGTGTTCTTCGCTTTCATCCCTTGACTTGTTTTATTTGAATGGTTAAGATTCAAACACATTAGCAATTTTAGTTGTTTCTGAATTTAAAAATTTTAAAGAAATTTTTTGAATCAATTGAATCTGTTGATACGTAGAAAATCCTTTAATTCTTATAGAATTGGTGGGAAGTCGAACTCCATCAAATCAACGCGAGGTAGAAATGCACATAAATGCAGTCTAAAGTCTATTGCTACATTACCTTTGGGTTAAAAAAAAATCTATCGCTATGTTCATTGACCAACTACCTTTTATTGAGCAGTTCAATTATAGAATCCAAAAAATAAATTTTTAATATTATGCATCCATTACTCATCTAATAAAATTGTGACCCTTGTGTTTTTTTTGTTTTAATATTTGTAACTTAAATATTTATTCAATATATTGTTATGAATTATTTAAACTAAATCCAATAATTGCATGTAAATTTCGGCATGATATCGTAACCTTATCATTTATTGAGATAATGAGATTTTGTCAATTATTTTGGGAGTAAGTATTCAGTAGGAGTGTCAAACGTGTTAAGTTGTGTTCTTTTGTGTCGGGATAATTTAGAGTTTGTGTTAAAAATTCCAAAACTCGAACATGACATGTTTAATAATTGTATCGAAATGTGTAAACACTAATTTAACCTGACTATTAAAACGGGTTACCTGAACCTGACCTGTTTGAAACATTTAATAAACATGTTGTTTTCAGGTTAGCACACATATTATTTTGACCTATTTAGCACACATAACACAGACCTGTTTAATATATATAACTTGTTTTCACACCTATTCATTGCTATTAAATACAACATTCAATTATTCATCCAAAAATTTAAATAATTTTTTTACAAATAACATATCACATCTTATCAATTAAATTAACTAAAATACATTTAAGTTTCGACCCAAAAATTAAACTAAAAACTATATTAGTATATTGTCATAATAATACTATGAACTATATTGTCAATTATCACAATAGAAGTAAGAACTAATAAGTAATCATATTAAAACTACATCAGTCATACAAAATAGACAAACTATACTGCATTAAAATAGTTTTACAATGAGTTGGGTCGGATTCGTATCCGAAACATGTCAACCCGTTTAAAATATACGAGTTAATCAAGTAAAAATTAGGTTGACCTAGTTTTGACATCAACCTGATATTATTTTTTTTCGTGTTTAAGCGTGTTCGTATCCGATCCATTAATTTCGTGTTCAGTTCGTGTTGTGTCGAAAATTGACGGTCCTAATATTTAGTATCCACTTCCACGTGTATAATTGAGACAATGTTATAACTTTTGCGGGCATTATGGGGGGATCAGAAAAGTAAGGGGAAACTTGCTGATTATTGGAAACCATCGGGGATATGTTTGCATTTTACTTGAAAATAATTCCATGGCTTTTAAACAGTTTTGAGATTAAGAGAAGATGAGAGGACTCTTTTGTAAATATCGACTCTCTTCATATAAAGTGCAGCTGCGCAACTGATACATCTCTCTCTCTCTAGGGTTTTACACAGTTAATTGCCGCAAGCTTTCCCTCTCTACCCTTCTCGCCATCTACAATCTCATCAGTTGGAAGCAATGGCAAGCTTTTCAAACCCTAACAGTAAGCACAACGCCATACATTTACTGATTGAGATATATATATATATATATATATATATGTGGGGTGTGTGTGTGTGTTGTACTATGCGCTTATGGGTATGCATAATTCATTGTTAGATCTATATAAAACTAGCTTTTCATAGATAGATCGATGGGTTCGATCTGACTTGGGGAAAATGAAAGTGTTGAGGTGGGCAAGTTGGATGCTTTAAGAGGTCCAGACACCCTTTTAATAAAAAAAATGGATTTTTGTTAAGGATGTTCGTTTATTTGCTGAATTTTCTTTTGAATGTTTCGCGTTTAGTCATCGTCTTGTCTGTTTAAATTTGTGTTTGTTCAATGCTATTTCATGTGTGGGTTTACACTCTAATGCACAAGCTGCTCAAAGACTGACATGATAGGTGGATATGATTCTATAAGTACAATTGATAATTTGGTTGCTGTTCGTTCACTGGTTTCAAGGGGGATGAACTGAATTTGCTTAGCTTATGGGGTTTGGGAGTTCTCAGTTAGAAAGAATGTGTGGGTTTGTTGACCATCTTAGTATCAACAATACTTGCTAGATAAATGTACCTTGAGAAATGTAATGCTATATCACAGTATTGGATACATGACAGTTATTACTGCACTTGAAGGAAAGATAAATTTTGCCCTTCTAAAAAATATAAGATTGATATGTGGCATGTTTTGTTTTGTTTGAATTGTGCATGGATGGTTTTGTAGTCAAAGAAAAGGACAAGGGAGCCAAAGGAAGAGAATGACACTTGGGCCTGCTGTAAGGGATGGAGAGAATGTCTTTGGTGTTGCCCACTTTTTTGCATCATTTAATGACACATTCATTGTAAGTGGAAAATGAGTTTTGTTTTCTTTCTCCACATAGGATTTGTTGAAACTCCATAATTTATGGCGTATCTGGTTGAAATGCAGCATGTGACTGATTTGTCTGGAAGAGAAACCTTGGTTCGCATCACTGGTGAGATTTTTATTTACACAATATTATATGTACTAGTGCTAAAATTTTTTGTAGTCCTTTGGAGAATTGTAGTATCTCTGCAGTTGTGTATCCCAATGAATTTTCAGTTTGGAGTCTGTAGAATATAGTCAGTTGTAAGAATAAAATTTTGGGCTAATCTGAACTGATTGATGAGCACATGTTGAACTGGCATTGTCCCTTAGTACCCTAACAGTTCCAGTTTCTGAACATCCTTTGTTATTTATTTACACTTGACGTACCTGTAACCTGCCTTTTCAGGTGGTATGAAAGTGAAAGCAGACAGGGACGAGTCATCCCCATATGCTGCCATGCTTGCTGCACAAGATGTTTCACAAAGATGCAAGGTTGTAATCATGATTTTCAATTTCATGCTCTAGCTTCCCTAGCAGTTATACTCATTAAAAGGTGATTTATTTGTTCTGGTTTCTGGTGCCTAGTACATCATATTTCTATGGTTTTTTCTTGTTCTTGGTTAAACATCTTGTATGCCATTTTTTTACTTCCAAACTTCCTATAAAATAGAAGTCTTATTTCTCGTCCCCCCTCCCCACCCCGCCCCCCAAAAAAAAAAATTAAAAAAATTCAGGGGTTTCTAGAGTTGCCTCTGTTACACTATGTTCTTCTCTAAATTTTAATACTGGATTTTCTTCCTGTACATTAGGCTTAATATTTAGTGATATTGCTATCTTACTGGACTGCCACACAATATGAATGACATTTTCTTCTTCCAAACAGGAACTTGGCATCAGTGCTCTTCATATTAAGCTCCGTGCAACAGGTGGGAACAAGACAAAAACTCCTGGCCCTGGTGCTCAATCAGCACTCCGTGCCCTTGCCCGTTCAGGAATGAAAATTGGTCGTATAGGTAACGCTTTTATTCTTTCACAAAGAATTCCTTCTTAATTTGTGGTGATACTCTTTTGTGTGCATGCCTGCAGTTTGACAATAATATATAACAAAGAAATTGAGAAAATTGGATGGCAATACACACTGTGGTCCATCTTGGGAAATAATAGAAACAATGTATAAGATAGATAACCTTGTAAAGAAGCTTAATTCTAAGAGACAAGGATACGAATATGATATGACATGGACGCTAAGAAGCATGGATACGGTTAAGGGATATGAGTACGATACGGATACATACAACTATACAACAAAATCCAAATAAATAAGATATACATATGGTCAGGATACGTGTATAGAAAATATATTTTATATTCGTTTTGTTGTGTAACGACTTGATAGGTATAATATTTAGTTATTTTTAAACAATAATAAACAATATTAGCGATTTTTTACTTTAAAAAAGATACCTATCGTCTCATTATGGTATGTCCATGAAGTAAATAAGAACCAACATTTACTTAGGTTGTTAGCTTAGAAATATATTTTGCTAAGATTATAGTTGTAATCGACTCATTTATACTCTTTGGATATGAGATAGTGAATAATACTTGACAAACACCCATTTGTCTTGAAAGTCATGGATTTTTATTGATAGTGGATTGTTTTTTTGAATTCGGAATGAGGGAGTAAAGATTAAAACTAAAATTATACAAACATCGCTACATATAGAAATATCTAACATTTAATGTGTATTCGATACATATCCTCGAGTATCTGACGAGTATCATATCTGATGCAGATACGTCAGTTTTAACGAAATATCTGTGCTTCATACCATGGACACATTTAAAAAAGTAGAATATGGACACATCAGAGACACATTATGAGTAATTTTGTTTCATAATAAATTACATAATTCATCTTGATTATATATGTAGTCAAGTAATGTGAATTTTTAACTAAAAGATCATGGTAGTGAACCACAAAGTTATAATGGTTACTCATCTTTTGAGTTCCTCCTCTTGAGCAAAACTTTAATGCATCTTTTACTTTTATTAGTGAATTTTTTAAGTATAACCTCATCATGGCTAATTTTAATGATCATTGATTCTTCCATAGTGGTAGATAGTCATTTCTTAAGTTTTTAAGCTTTTTGAATTTCATGCCAACACGTTTATATTTTAGTAGAGACATGATTAAAGATGTGCGGGACATGGCACCAAAGGAAGGATGGTCATGTGTCTAAAACATAACTCAATTCAATAAACCCTTGTTCCAACAATTTTAGGGTTGATTTCATGAATCTCGTTTCGGTATTGTGCTCTATTTTGGGCCATATTTTTTGTTAAACCGTAAGTTATAATTTTTTACTGTTTTATTTAAAGTCAATTTTAGTCTTTCTCTGCCTATTCACTTATCGTCAGTAGGTATTACATCACTTTTTCTTGAGGTGCCATAGTAGGCTGTCTATAAATATGTCCAGAACACCTAATTCATTCTTTCTTAATTTGTCTTTTATATGTGCTATCTCTACTTTTTTATGGATATTTTCATTTCGACTTCTATCCTTTTTAATTTTACCAGATGTTCATCTTAAGTGGTATTCGTTTATTACACAGTACATTAGATGCATTTCTCCATTTTGTCCATCTTGCTTTAATTCTATAAGTAACATTTTTACTAATTTGAAACAAAAATTTTATATTTTAATGCTGGGCACATGTAAAAGACATTGAATATGTGACCGAGAGTGTTCAAGAAGTGTTGGTGTCGGATACGGATATCACCTTCTTAAGAGTGTTCGTGCTTTTTTTTTTTTTTTCGCTTGATTAACTGATCTTTGGGGCCCTAAGATTGTCTCCCTTGAGCATATGATTTAAATGTTGGTCAAAACTTGAGACTTGTTGTTTGGTTTATCATTTCTTCAACTGTAATTCTTTTCCCTTGTTTTGTTTTTTTTGTGGCGGGGGGGTGGGGGTGGGGTTTGGGTTTGTCCAGAGTGGTCAGATACTGATTTATACAATGTTTTGTTATGTCATTGAAGATTGTGATTAGCCAATCATATTTAATATCAAGCTGCATGTTTAGGATTGGGTTACTTGCAGTGGAAAATAATTTGAAGCGCCGGATCTTGAAACAAACTAACAAGAATCCCCTTTAGCTTGATTAGTTATTATTTGTTCCTATTGTTCCATTTCTGATTTTAGGCTTTTTGCGTGTGGTAAATAGGCATCTTACCCTGTGTGAAACACAAAAGGGATTGAAATAGTGAATCGTATTAAATGAATTACTACATTGATGTCATGTGCAGTTGAATTTGTTTCTATGTTGCTAGCCAGTTTTATTGTCTTGATGTGGTTTTTCTTTGTTTCTAAAATGTCATCCTTCTAGTATAGTTTTTTAACTGATATTTTTGAATCGCGAAGTATCAGCCAGTGTTGAACAATAAATGACATTACATTGTATTGGGGGACACTGGTACAGTTATAATTTTTTTTTTTCTAAAAAGAAAATTTTCATTTATATAAAGTATAAAAAGTAAATAGATGGCTGATAAGAAATCCACCCAAAAAGCAAAAAGATACAAGGATAAATTAAAATAAATATTATAGCTACATGCTGCTTTTCAATTATGTTGTAGAATTAACAAAGAAATGTCTCTAAACTCATCTGAAACCACCCAAAGAGTTGCTGTTAAATCATTTCTCTGGCTGAATATTACTTTTTCCAGTTTTAACCTTTGCCACTGAAGATAATATCTACCATTTTTCTAAAATACTGCACCATAACACACTTTTATACCACAAACTCCACCTTAATATTGTTGAGTAGTACTCTAAAATGGGCTTACGTGGTGAGAGCACTGGAGAAAGTTTTGAGGAAATGAATCTTAGGAATGCATTTCATTTTCATGATTTTGCTTGAGATGCTTGTATTTTAGCTTATTATGATCTTGCTTCGAGAACCTGTCAGATAAAATTATTGAGTTATCATCTTTTGATATGTTTCAGAGGATGTGACTCCAATTCCAACTGATAGTACTCGTAGAAAGGGTGGCAGAAGAGGAAGAAGGCTGTAAGCTTGATCTTTAACCTCCTCTAATCCAGCCAAACACTTTTTGTTGTGGCATTTGTAGACTCTAAATGAGGATGGTAATGGCAATGCCTTCGATTGTGCTGCACCAGATTTTTATTATTGAAACTGCTGTTTAGGTTGTTGACAATGGCTATGCCTAATATTTCTTTAGTTTTTATACTTGCCCAAAGGCTTCAAACGACATTTATCTACGCACAGTGCCTCTGAAGGCCCACAACAGTAGCTTGCACTACTGGGCCCTTTGGGATATGCTGGTGCAAGTAAGGAACTTCTTTGTGTGCATATCTCGTTCTGGTTCTGGGTTTTAGAATTCAGATTTATTCCGGAAAGAATCCCAACTGAGATTATCATTTCCAATAATGTGGGAATCTAATTAATGAGGGAAGAAGGGCTGTGTCTCTCAAGTACTATATCCTGCTTGGTACTGGTTCATCATAGGGGGAGACAGTAGGCATCTCATTTACAGCATTTCACTGCTTTTTTTTCATATTCTTTGTTAGGGCGAGACTATGATATGAATTTTTTTTTTGGTACCGTACTCAAGTTATAATTAAAGGCCGAGGTTACATCTAAATCTAGCGAGGTTCTATCAAAATGGGGTTGATTGGATTCAATCAAGATATTTTAGGGTTGATTTTAACATTTTAAGGTCTCAACTTTATTTAGTGGTAAATTGACTCAAAAAGTTATAATTTTTAGTATGGTACCTAGGTGTGATAATTCTAAATACGACTCGTGAAACCAACGCAAATTAGACACGGATTTAGCAAGTTTGGGTGTAGTCTTAACGGGTTCGGGTGGTTAATGGATTAACTTGGCGGACCCGTGAAATAAATGAATTGGTTTTGTGTTTAATCTATAAATTCGTTTTAACCCGTTTAACCCATTAATAGTTGTATTATAATTTTTTTTAAAAAAAAGTTAGGTATCTCAACCTCTATCTCATCTCACACCTCTCATCATTTAGACTCATTTAAATTTAGTAGTTATTTAATATTTATTTTTTTACTCAACTATGATTTATTGTAATAATAAACAAGTTAAACATATGAATTGCGTAGCAAGTCGATGATTTTTTGTGTACTCGAAATATTTCATCTTATTCTCTTATTTAGCGGGTGACATGGGTTATATCGGGTAATTCGTCTAATAAATGATTTGTGTATAGGTGTGATAGTTGAACTTGTTTATATAAACGAATGAGATATGGATGGAAAGTTTTTTGACACAAACTTGTTTCACCCGACATAAAACCGTTCCACTCGACACGATTGCCAGGCCTATTGGTACCTTCTATCCTACCATTATCTTACCCTCTTGGATGGCTGTAAGGTTTATGGTTTTTTGGTATGATACTGTATAAGTACGTACCCTGCACCCTGAACATGACCAACGACCGTATAATTTTATCTATACCCATCATTAGAAAACCACGACATGGATACCATTGTGACTGCTATGGTCATTTTAATTGTTGCCTCCATCAGAGCTTAAGATGAAACCGTCCCAGCTGCTATGGTTTTTCCTTTCTTTATTTCTCCATTTATCATTGAAGAGATTAGTCTTAATGTGTATTCGCAATGTGTTGGTTTGGTTTGGTAACAATAACGTAATCGAATGAGTGTCAAACACTACCTTGTCATTATGGGGGTACGATGGTAATCGATTGACATAATATCATGTTTTGTTTGGATTGTGTTATTTTGATTTCTTGTAGAGTATTAGTCAATTTTAATTTGTTCTATTTATTGAAATTGTGGTAGTAGATGACTTTGACATTGTCTACCTATTTGTGAATCATATCTTTTCGGGTTGGTACCTAGATCACATAGAACGAGAGCGGGACAGGAGTGGAAGTACAAAATCATCAACATTCAAAAAAAATTAGAGTGCGAGTCTCTTGAGAGTATTATGTTATATACATACTGACATATATTCACTCATGAAAGTTTAATATAAATAAAATTAAAAATTAAAATTAATGGACAATTATGAGACAAATTATTTAATTTTTAAATATATATTGATTATAAAGTCTTAAAATGATAATTATAGTTTAGAAATATTATGCTTGTGTCAGTGGAATACAAATTTGAGTAATAATAAGTAAGCATTTAAGTAAGTGAGAGTACAAATTAGTCAAATTCACAAATTAAAATATTGAATTTGCAAATTTTGTAAAATGAGAGTGTGAACTCTCTGAAAATTCGCTCCCAGAGTGCGAATTTGTGTGCTGAGTGCGAGAGTGTTAAGAGTTTAGAAAGATTATTTGACTAAGATTGATACACATGATTTGTAATTAGAAACTCTAGAATGACTTTGTCTCTCAATTACATCTATCAATTCATAGTCCTAAGAAATTAAAATCCAATCGATCTAGATCCTTGCAAAGTTCAATTAAAAATCCTCTCTTTTGACAATGATTCATTCAAATCATATTTTTTCTTGTGCTTGCTTTCACGACTACTAAGATTTTAGGCGACATGGATAAAGAAGACTGTGGGTTTGTCAAACAGGATCGATTAGTGGGGATTGACAAGTTCAACTAAACAGATCAAAATCAAGTTAAATGGGTTTGACATTAACATGATCTGTTTATTAACCATGCTTTTGTCTAGTAATAGTAAATATTTACCCACTAGGTTTAAGTTGTGCTTTGCTTGCTGATTGTGTCGAGAATTATCGCCCGGTCTGCGATGGTGGAAAGGACAAAGATTTATGGTTAGTGTCGAGTTTTCAGGGTTCAGTCCAAATACTAGTGGGCTTCCAAGACTTTTAAGTTTCGGATGATTGTTAATAGGCCCATAATACAAAATGGTTGAACTTGATTTTTGCATAGTGTTGTGCACCCTCCCCCTATTCATAGGCTCCGTGTGGCACACATTGATACAACAACAACAAAAATAAAAAATTAAAAAATACAAAAGTTGTGTGTTTTTAGTTTGGTGGAAAGCGATGGTTTAACCTCTTTTGTCGGCACGCAATCTGTCTTTCTTTTTGTAGAAGAGTTAGCCTTGTCAGACTTCTCTTGATCTTTTCGTTTTTTTTTTGGAAGAGCAGTCCTCTACCCGTTTTTTTGGCATTCAAGGCATCTTCCGCATTCATATGGCTCTAAGTTTTGAAAAAGAGCTTTGCTATATTTGTAGGTGGAGCCTTGGAAAGTAAAAGTAAAAACTTGGAGGGCTGAAGTTCTTTTATGAAGGCAGTCAGGGTTACCTTGTCGTTTACACTATTTATCTGCAGCTACTCTTCTATGACCTTGCCACAAATTGTCGAAGTGATTCTCTATTTGTCTGCTTGAGATTCAAAAGATAGGTGGCAAGCTTCCTATGCGTTCTTCCTCCAATAAAATGAGAAAGAAAGGATTTGTTAAGATCTAGAAAATATTCGATAAACCTTGAGGGGGTTCAACAGAGACTAGTTGTTCCCTTGAAGGTGGTAGGGAATACTCGACACATAACCTAATTGGGAACATTGTGGAGTAACATCAAAGATTTATAAATTTTCAAATGATCCAAATGATTCTTCTTTCCATCGAAGCTGTCTATCGGTGGCAACTTGAACTTTGATGGTAATAGATAGTGTGTGACATTGCGTGAGAATGGGGATTTCAGACGCTATGTTGGGCCTTTGTGGAGTCTAGTTTGTGTGTTGATCCAGATAATGACCCGACTCGAAATAATGTTGCATATTTTTTAATGAAAATTTTTTTGAGGCTTGGTCCATAGAGCAAAGGGTTGGGCCTTAGACCTGTTTTGTAGCCCGGTATGTAGGACATATAAAAACCTGTTACTTTGATGATTAGGGTTTTAGTGTAACTGTATAGCTGCCCTCTGTATTCTGCTCTCTCAATAGTGAAATTTGTGCAGCTTCGTGGACGTAGGCAAATTGTCGAATTATATAAAATCTGTGTGTCTTATTTTTTCTTGCTTCTCATTGTTTTATGTTTTTTGTTTATTTTTCGATTGTGTGTGTTTGTTTGTGGGTTTAAAGCGCATTGGATCACAACGCATTGGATCACAACGCACTAAACTAGAGTTTTCATAGTTTTTGAAGCTCTCTAGCCTTGACAGTGTTGAGTACGTCCTCAATTCGATCATTGATTTCTTTGAATTTTCAGTCCAAAGATGCACTTTTTTTTTTTTTTTTTATGTTGATGGAGAATATCATTCTGCCTGTGTTCATCCTTGCGTACCTCTCTGGTGTGCGTTAGGATTCTTTTGAATGGGAGACTTGTTGTGGCTGTTGTTGATGCTGGCTAGCAAGGGCTAAGGATTTGTTGAGTTTGCTGAGCCAGGCCTTCAACGGTCTGGATCAGCCTGCCATAGTTTCTCTTCAAAATGAGCACCCTCTGAGTCTCCTGTCACTTGTTAACACGGGGGGCTTTCGGTTATAATTGTCTCATCCGTTCATTCCTTGTTAGTATTGCTCTCATAAAGGATCATCTTTGGTTACATCCATATATTTGGTAGTCACCATCCATAGTTTTCTTTCAGAGAATTGAAAGAACCGTTGAAAATATCCAGTCGTTTTCTACAGACGGCACCAAACTATTGGCGCAAAAATTAGCCAAACCTATATTCAAGCTGATGAACTTGTTACCTTGCTCCTATCAACTTTCCGAATAGTTTGAACAACTTCTTGTAGGATTGGCTTAGCTCTTCAAGACTCCAAATGAGATTTTCGCAAGCTGAAAGACCTGAAATGAAAGTCGAGGATTGGAGGGAGAGATCCAAGGGTCAACCCTCCGATGCTTAAATTAGTATTCGCTAGAAAGGGTCTTAATATATATGCAAGCATTGATGTTACGTATCTCTGGTCTTCCCTTGGGCTTCATTTTTATAGTATTTTGAATGGATAGTTGGTGTGGAGTGGACTCTATACTCCTTCGTTTGTTCTGTTAAGATGTAGACTCCTTGTATTTGGACTCATACTCGTGGGGGAGTCTTTTGAATCTCAGATAAACTTGGTCAGGGGCGAAGA